AGTTATAGATTTAGATTACATGGTAAGATTTGGGAGTTAGTATAAAAGCATAAACCTTTTCTAGTTAATGTGGTCGTTACATATTTTCTTAAAGATTTTAGGCGCTTAATTAAGGTGTATCCGGATTTTCATAGAGATGTGAAATTGACTTAGTTAAATATAATTAACTCTTACTCGCGAGAGATAAATTGAGTACGTTAGAAGAATTTGATCGAAAACTACTATAGTCTTGAATCCTGATTAGCAAATTAAAGGAAATTCATAGATGAAATTATAAGTCCTAGCATCCACATTCATACTTTAAAACCCGAATTTGATAAATTGTGCATGTTTGATTAATTTAGTTTAGTTAAAATAATTTAAATAACGAATCACAAATATATTCTTTGTTCTTCGTCAAATATGAGTTAGAATTAGGAATTAAATTATAATTCTCATGTGAACGATAATCCAGACTCATAGATCCATATGTTACTTGTTCTATCCGTGCACTCACGTGATATAAATTCAACAGAAAAGGTTATGAGATATAAGAGGACGTTGCAGTCATATTCATAAATATTATTTTAGGATGCCAATTGGATCAATTGTTTCTTTAGTTGGGTTTTTTGGGGATCTACAAAAATAGTACTCCTATCATGATAAATTGTGTAAATAAAAAACTTTCATTCTTTTTTAACCACACATTATTCAAAAATTCACTATTTCAAATTACATTTTTCCTCAAAATTTAATTTAAATGGAGCCCAAATGAAAATGTCTTCAAATGCTATATTCCACTGAAGGAACAATTTTGACTTACTTTATATTCTACTGAAAAGAGGAGGAAAGTGCAGAGCGGAACAAAGATTGAGAATCAAACATAATTAATTAATATAGTGCAAATTAAGTAATTAATGGCAGACTGTGTGTCTCAAGCAAATTTGTAACTTCCATGTGGTTGGATTGTATTCCAGACTGTGTCTCANTCTATCCGTGCACTCACGTGATATAAATTCAACAGAAAAGGTTATGAGATATAAGAGGACGTTGCAGTCATATTCATAAATATTATTTTAGGATGCCAATTGGATCAATTGTTTCTTTAGTTGGGTTTTTTTGGGATCTACAAAAATAGTACTCCTATCATGATAAATTGTTATAGAACTCATTGATTTTATGTCAGTGCATTTTAAAAGCAAAGCTGATCAACAAGTGCAAGCTTTAGTTAGATTAAATGATTAAACTTGGACGTTACATGAGCAAGCTTGAAGGGTCATATAATAGTATCAAATTGAAAGAATCAGTAGAGGGCGAGGATAAGATGCAGCAGGAGCAGGATGGACTACATTGTTGTTTACCTCGTCATGGTTACACATTTTTCAATAAAATAATATTACATATAAATAAAAAACTTTCCTTCTTTTTTAACCACACATTATTCAAAAATTCACTATTTCAAATTACATTTTTCCTCAAAATTTAATTTAAATGGAGCCCAAATGAAAATGTCTTTCAAATGCTATTCCACTGAAGGAACAATTTTGACTTACTTTATATTCTACTGAAAAGAGGAGGAAAGTGCATAGCGGAACAAAGATTGAGAATCAAACATAATTAATTAATATAGTGCAAATTAAGTAATTAATGGCAGACTCTGTGTCTCAAGCAAATTTGTAACTTCGATGTGGTTGGATTGTATTCCAGACTGTGTGTCTCAAGC